ACAGCTTTGCTATGCATATATCAAGTTTTAAAAATAAGGTGACACCTGGAAGATTGTTTTGGGAATGGCTCCTGTGATTAGGAAAATGACTCGTTAGAATGTGACTGTCCTATTACTGCTCAATAAAAGCTGTACACACTCCTTAAAGGTTTAAATTAAAACTCTATATAGACTTTTTTAAAACCTTGGTAGCAGCATTAGACTGAGACAATTAAAATCTATGCCAAGTAAATTTTACTTAGTGTATTATTGGGCATATTCCTAATACATGAGAAATCTCATTGCTGTGTGAACACTGACGTCCCAGAAGTGATCGCTCAGAAAAGAGCAGGGTGTGTGCTGACTGGTGGGAATGAGCTGCCAAGAGAAAGGAACTGTCTGCTCCTGTCGATGCTTCTGCAGCTGGTGCTCACGTGTAATCTTTTCCTGCTGATGATGAATTTCAAACAGTTTATGAACTACAAAACATACCAGGAATTAATCCAACATTAAGCAGAAAGGAAACCATGGTCTTTCAAATATTACTGAACTGTGCTATGTGTGCCTTATTTACCACTCCCCGCCCCTGCCCCAGAGCACCTATGAGAATCAGGTAACCCAGGTTCTGTGTCTGACTAACTCTGTCATGTTTGGCCAGGCCAGTGAATTCCTCATCTGAATGGTTGGGAGACCGTAGCAGCTGGTTTCTTAGCTATCAGGTCTTGTTTCAGGTATGGTGGTTTACAGGAACTGAAATGGTGGTTGAAAACTACACACAACTGAATCATGAAGTAGTAGCCTGAAGACTCCGCTTTCCTTCAATAACTTGCTGTTGCCACATTTCTGATTTTAGAAATTAAGTCAAAATGTTAAAAAGAAAATTCTGCATGTTCTTTATACATTTAGAAGTAGTTACATTTTTTGTAAGTATATATTTATTTAAGTTGTACTGGTGTGCTAATAAAACCAGATCATTGAAATTCACTTGTCTCCATGTAGCTTTTCTTCTAAATATAAAAATTTGATGTTAAAAGGTTGTGGGGTGCCTGGGAGATAGCTTGATGGTCTAAGCATCTGCCTGGCAAGTGCAGGGACCCAAGTTTGATCCGTGGTACCAATGCTGTACCAGCCATGCAACCCTGTATGCACTGGCCCCAAAACGGCATGGTGATGCACACCTGTAATCCCAGCCCTAGGGAGGCTGAGATGGGGATCAGTATGGCACTCGGATTACAGGTGTGTGCCACCACACCTGGTTTCAGTGTCTGAGGGCCAGCAGAGCATGCAGTACCAGACATCTAACCCGGGTCCTTGCACTTGCTGGACAGGTGCTTTGCCCCAAGAATTTTTTTAACAGGAAAGAAATTTCCACTTTCTACAGTTTGGTCACTGAATTTTGACTGGATTATTTTTTGAAAAATAAAATTAAGCTTTTGAGTGCAGTGTCAGTAAAGCAAAGATAATTAGCTGCTTAAATGAATAATTGCTGGAAATGAAAGCTGACATGAACTATATATAAGGCTGATGATCAATTCTTGGAGTAGTTTGAGAACCGTCCCTGCTGAGGACACAATTGACTCTTAATCTGTCATGATCTGAAGGAAGTTATTTCTCCTTTTATGTCTTGGTCTGTAAGATGTTGATTCTGTTTCCTCCTCCATGGGGTTGCTTTGTGAATTTGCATTTTGCAAGTGTCCGTGGGGTGCTTGCCATGTGCTAAGCACTAGGTTAAGACATAGTTTCTGCCTTTATAGAGCTTGTATGCAACTAGAAGAGACAGTAGTATGGCCCAGAGAGAAACTAGATCACGTGATCATAATGAGGCAGGTACCTGTGAGTTTGAGGTGTGGCACTAAGAGAGACCAGAGGGCCAGCAAGATAGCTCAGCGGGCTAAAGTGCCTACTTGGGCAAGCTTAGGTAAGTTCAGGGATCCCCAGCACCACATGCCGCACCAGCCCTGCCCCCAGGGTGGGCTGAATTAGCCACAAAAAAAAAAAAAAAAAGCAAAAACAAAAAAGACTGCTGAAAGAGACAAACAGCTCTGTGAAAGATGGTTAAGTGAGCCAGTAATATTTTACCACAGTATCTGCCACACATGCAAAATATAATTATTCTAACTCAATGGAATTTACTGTGAGCCCTGGCAGTGTATCTTTAGATTAAAAAAAAAAATGCAGAGGTTTGGACAGTCCCACGCCTCACCTTCCTGCATCTGGGGGTGGGGTCCCCTATTTTAACAGCCTTCCAGCTGACAGTGATGCAGCTAAAGTTGAAGAACGACTCCTTGTCAAATTTGATAGCACATCACAATCAACTAGTATTTAAAAATTGGTGTCACAGAAAGTCTGATTTATTTGGAGTGCAATGTGGACATCAGAATTTTTTTTGTGATTCTAATGTACACCTGAGGCTGAGAACCAGTAGAAAAGCAAGAAATAATCACAAAATCAAAAGGACCCATGGGGCTGGTGAGATGGCTCAGTGGTCTAAAGCACCTACTTAGAACAAACTTAGCAAAGCACAGGGACCGCGGTTCAATCCCCCGGCACCACATGCCAGCCAGCCCCGCCCCCTGGTGGGCTGAGCTGGCCACACACCGACACAAAATAAATAAATATTAAAAAAAAAAAAAAAAAAAGGACCCAATTAAAAAAGAAATGCTCACGTGTGCTTTGCTCTTGGAGCAATGAGTGTGGATTCACTGACCACACACTGCATTGAGGCCTGCAGTCTGCCTTCCTGAGCGGCCAGCTGGAGGGAGCCTGGCTGGGCTAATGTACACAGTGGGAGAGCCCCAAGCTGGGTGGCCTCTGCGTTGTGTCTTCTATTTAAACGAACAATCACATTTTCCAGCGCACACTCTGGTTGCTAATTACACACCTTATAAAAGTGACAGCTTCTGCAGGTGTAAGTAATTAGGATGTCTTTAACTCGTTTAAAGATACCTACCATTCCCCACATCCCACCAAGCAAATTGCTCACGATTACATATTCAACTGAGAAGTCATTTTACAAATTATTCCTTGTTAAAGGCTTGAAAAAGGGACATAAAAAATTACAGAACTACTAACCTCTAGTCCCACATAAGTGGTTAAGATGGGGGTGGGACTCTACTGGCTACATACTCTCAGAGATGTTGCAGAGAAGTCCTAGAACTCATAAGAAACACTACTTTGAGATTTCTGAATAAATATTGGTGAAGTTCTAGAAGAACAAGTCAGCATTTTTTTAAAAAGAAAATATTTTTTGGCTCCGACTTCATTGCTAAGATTAGGGAGGAAAACTCGCTCCTTAGTCTTCTGAGTCCTGGTGCAGGTCAAGGAGTTGGAGCTTTCAGGGAAATGGAGAAGTGAGGCATGCTGGGAGGAGGCTGGAAGTCTGGAAAGGTTGCTGTCCAATGTGCAAGAGAAAAGAGAGAGGTTAGTTAGTTAACCACCCAGAACCTCTGCATTTATCTGTCACCACCTGTACTGAAGTGCTTTTCAGATTCATGGATCCTGTTTCCTTTCTGCTTCCCATACCTTGCCTAAATGTGTTTTTTAGCCAATTGTACCTGGAAGCATAAAGGGAGGGGGATTCTGGGAAACTTTCAGTTCAGCTCCGTTGATATAGTACACAATGGCCAGTTATTGACAATACCAAAGGTCAATCAAACTCACTTGAATATTTTTGCTAGAAGCCCCACTAACTTTGATCCTTTTGCAACCTGTAAAATCTCTTCATACACCTGCTCTCCAAAAGAGGAGAAAGGTTGGAAAACTGACCCAGTTCCTAGGGCAGACTTTAGTGGGGAG